AGTCACAAAAGTGCATGTGCAGCCTCTGGTTCCATAAAACCGGCTGACTCTTTATGTTGTGTAATTCACATTCCCACAGGACTACATCACTTGAAAGCTTGGAAAAGTGCTTAGGTTTTCCTCCGTCAGGTGTTCTTTGGGATTCAGGAGGGACAACAAACAGGGTTCTTAGAAATGAAGGTAGATACTGAGAAAGGGAAATTTGGACAGGAGAAGACGGTTTCGACAGGACAGAGGTTTTGAGAAAGGCTAAAAGAGGTGGAATTTCTAAGGACAAATATAAAGATAGCAAGGATAGAATGGATGGGACTAGAGAAGGGATGTGGTAAAGGATAGAGAAGCAAAGATGGAGGGATTCATGGGAAAGTAACAAAGTAGCAGGGAGAGTGAAAATGAGATAAATGGTAATGGAAAATAGAGTGGAATGGAATATGGAGCAAGAAGGGAAACAGTCACAAGTATGTCAAAGGTAAGGACATGTTTACAGTCACTATATATTATGTGTCTCATTCCTAATCCTAACTGTAATTAAGAAAACCAAACCACAACAACAAACAAAACCAAACAATAAAAAACACAAACAAAGCAATAATAATAAAAAAACCCAACACAAAACCAACAACCAAAACCCCACCAAAATATCCCAACAAACTGTGTAACTTCTGTGAGATGGTAAGAACAGAAAAGCTTTCTTGGCAGGTGAGACTAAATGCATTCATTTTCCCAGTCCATTCACTCTTGTGTACATTGCCTGTCCGATTACACTCTTACAGAACACTTAGTGCAGGCTGCTGAAAACCAGTTATCACTGCAGAGCCGCTGAGATCCTGCTGAGATATCCATTATAAAACATTTTTCCATTCTGAGAGAACTGCTCTAACCCTGAGCCCCTGCAGCCCTCAGAGACACCCCTCAAACCATCTCTTAACCGACATCACTTTTCACAGATTAGGGATAAAGTTAGAAAATTTCACTTACACCCTGAGAAGAATCATTACAACAGTTTTATGGGTAGTGATTCTCTTCAGTAAGGCATGTGGTTCTAAGAAACAATAAGTATTTCTATTTTTCTCTCTCTGTCAAGTTAGATTGTATTGAAATTGTTAAAATAATTACTTTTGTTGACTTGAGAAAATCTTTCTCTCTTAGGCCTTAGAGATTTGTTCAACTAATGGCAAACTAATACCTAGCTGCTTATAGAAAGGATGCTGCTGCTTATAGAATTTATGAAAATTGTGTATTGCCTCATACTGCATTATATCTTTTTTTGGAGTATTGGGTATCAAGGGAAACCCTGCCACTACAGACACAGCAAGGAGGGTATCTCAGTTGTCTATTATGATTTAGATGACAACTATCTCATGCTGCCCGATGGGATATTCTGGTGCACATCAAGAGCCACAAACAAAAGAAAAAAAAAAAAAAGCTTTCTTAGTTAAAAAGAAAAACAAAACAAACAACAAACCTGCAGTCAATTCTTCTTTCTTCATATTAGAAATATCCACGTACATATCCAAACAGACATAAGCAGCAGACACAACCTCAGTCTTGGCCAAAACCAAAGAGATTTTAGACACCAGAATGCAAATTACTGACTTGGAACTAATAGAGATCACAAAGTAAGGTGGAACAAATCGATTCAGTAAGTATTTTTTAATTCTAATTCAGGAAGAATTTGGTGGCTGGTTTTAGGTGGAGAAGAGGGTGAGAAACAGGGGACATCCTCAGCCAGTTTGATCAATAAAACTTAGAGAAGTTGTGGCTTTTATTTATTTTTAAAGGAGAAATCAGGTTGCTTACACAAGATCTTGAGTAAAGCCTGTATGAAGGTACAAATAATTGTCTAAAACACTGGTGTAAACATATAGAATTCTATCTTTGCAGTCTTAACTGCATCAAAATCCTTTAAATTATCACTGTAGTGATGTCATATATAGTTTATTAAAGTACCATTCTTTTACATATAGCAGCCTTCTAATGAAAATGAGACTGGTGGCTGCTGTTAAGTAATTCATACTTAATGCTGAGTACAGAAATAATAAAACTTACTGCAGGTTCATCCCTAGCGTCCTTGAAGGTTCTTCCTACTGGGACCTCTCTTTGCTCTTTCATGTAAGAAATAATTAATATTGAAGGTATGAATTGCATATTGGACACAAAAGATAAAATAGTAATACCTGAAATAAAACCAGTTTAGTGACAACATTTCCTTCTCTGGCTACAAATATGCACCCACTTTTCATTTCTCCAAGGTAACTTGATACTTAATCAAAGCCACTGAATAACCATATGTTCCTGTGAGAAACACATTTGGAAGCAGTAGGTTGGGATTTCCCTGCTAATAGCAGAAAGTAAAATAAGAGTTTAAAAGGCTAAAGTAATTAAAAGGGTGCAGAGCTCAAGGATTTGTGATGAGCTTTTTATATTTAGTACACTTATTGTATTCTTAATAAGAAATACTCACTAGGATGAAGCTCAGACACGTTTCCACTTGAATTCATTCTCATAGGCAATGGCTCTTCTGAGTTGGGTTCTCCCAGCACAACCCAATGCAACCTAATGATGCTGGAGAGAACTGGTCTAGCATATGGGTTCACAGTCAATCCTATTTGAATCAAACTGATCTAAGGTATGTAAGTAGCCAGAAAAAAAGTATTAATAATTTCACCTACAGAGAAGGTGAAATACTGTCCTTCATAGCTGTTTGCAAGGAAAGTAAGAATTGAAAAATGTTGCCTTAGATATTACAGCTGTTATAGGATGTGATTCAAGAAAATGGGGAAACTGTAACATCTCATATATTTATGACTTCTCTAAAACTTGTTCTGTCATTATGAAATGCATGTTTCATTCAGCTAAACCAATACAAAAGGGAAACATAATTTTCCAACAGCATGAAAGTGGTTATAAAACATTACTATAGATCTTAATTTTGCTTTACAGTAGGAACCATGTTGTATTTGCTCAGACAACACTTCTGTCAAAGCCAGTTTCTTGAAGAGCTTTTGTTATTCTCAAGCAATGGGCCATCAAGGAGAGGGAAGATACGGCATCTGTAGAATAACAGCAGGCATGTGTGAAGAATGATTTTATTCTATTTGCTTTATGTAGGAAACAATGATGGACCACGCGCTGCGCACTATCTCATATATTGCAGATATTGGTAACATTGTGGTTTTAATGGCACGACGTCGCATGCCAAGATCAGCTTCTCAAGACTGTATTGAAACAACACCTGGTGCTCAAGAAGGAAAGAAGCAGTACAAAATGATATGCCATGTCTTTGAATCAGAGGATGTAAGTAAATGCAATTAAACTTAGTTAAACAACATACATCATTTAGAGAATCTCTGAAATGGCATCTAATTTCTTAAATTAATTTTTGTTGTTGGTAATCTTTTCTAATTGAAGCTTCAGGTAATCTGTGGAAACCTTAGACAGTTTTTTTGTCCATATTCATACCTTTCTCAGTTGAGATACAGCTGCAGTTAAGCAGTACTAAACATTTCTGACCACCATTACATATGAACAGCTTTTAGTATCATTACTGTCATACCAATTAAAAAAAATAATTGAGTTATTTGGTTACAGTCCGAAGCAGCAGGTGACATGACCACCAAAATCATCAGTGTATACATGTCTGTGGAGGCATGTGCAAGCAGAGCATCCATTCTCTCATCATTCTTTCAGAATTCAGGATTTATGTCAGTCTTTTCTGTAAGCTATATTCCCTATTGGTACAAAGCCAGTGCTCTCAATTGTTTATTGGAATGGGTACATAAACAGCATATGGCTGCTTGCTGCTGCAACATCGTGGTGAAGGCAGATCAGCAGGGTTTGCAAATGAAGCCTGCAATTTTATTTTGGATGCAATGGAGTGTTTCTATACAACTGACCTTAAAGTGACTTTATATCCATACTACCATAGCAACTTTGCAGGATCCTTTATTTTGACTTTGTCTTAAAATCCAATATATCTGTTATTTCTTATGGTTTCAGTGGTAAACTCTTTATCAGTCCTTTCTCCAAGATATTTTGTTCTACATTCCAGGCACAGCTGATAGCTCAGTCAATCGGTCAGGCTTTCAGTGTTGCTTATCAAGAGTTTTTAAGAGCCAACGGAATTAACCCAGAGGATCTCAGTCAGAAAGAGTACAGCGACATCATCAATACCCAAGAGATGTACAATGATGACCTCATACACTTTTCCAATTCAGAAAACTGCAAAGAGGTAAACTAGTTTTGCAATTTCATTTCAGATTGATCTTTTTTTTTTTTTCAGAGGAATGTAGTTCTCATGGAAATACTGTTTGCATTTTAAGGATGTCTACATCTCAAGATGCATTGCTTCTTCGATTCTGTGCTACTAAAATAATCTTTATAAGTTTTATAATTTCTTCTTTCCATTTTCAGGGTTTTTCTGCTTCCATTCATCAAACCAGTAATAAAGTATATTTACATCTCATAGATAAGCTCTGTGCTACTCATAGTACACAGTGTAAAGTGTTTTTACATTTCACCAATATAGTGCTAGAGAGATAACAATACATTTTGATGCACATTGTAAGCGATTTCATACTTAATAGATAAAACGACCAACAGTCCAGGATGCTGTGGCACTGCACAGACCAATTTCTCCTCCCCTACTAGAATACCAGAAAAACTGCCACATGAAATAGAGTTTCAAATTCGTAATGCATTGCAGGGCAAGGATTTCCTTTAAGTAGCCCATATTACACAGTTGTAACTATATACATTTGATTTTGCAAGTAATGGATTCTTTCTCTACAACAGCAATATATTTAACAATTTGCATTTCATACAAAAGCCACTGTCTGGGCTTTCCAAACCAGAATGTGGTGAGTGCAGTTGCACCCAGATTCTGCTTTGGTTTGTATTGCTGCAGTGTGATAGGGGTTGGGCCCATGTTCCAAAGGCCAGAGTTTCTGTGCTGAGTTCCAAGTGTATCTTGCTTGGAGATGAATTGCAGATTGTTTAAGCCTTCAGTCACAACTTTCCTACTTACACTCCCTTCTTCTGCCATTGCAGGTTCTTTTGTACAGCACACATGTTCTTGTGAAGAGAGCATTTTCCACCTATACCTGCAGATAGAAAGGTTATGATTTTATATGTCTGCAGTCACTAGATATCAATAGAGTGATCATATGGTCATTGTGTGCCAACCCACTGGACTAAAGGATCTAATCCAAGGTGAATGATCAATTTTATGTGACATAAATTAATTTTGGCCATAAATGGCCACACTTTTTCTCCTGGTCTAGTGGGAGGTGTTCCTGCCCATGGCAGGGGGGTTGGAACTAGATGGTATGGTCCTTTCCAGCCCAAACCATTCTATGATTCTGTGTGCATATAAGCATGACAAAATACTTCTCTTGTAGCAAACAAGTGAAAATTCAGTACATCAAGTCTTGGTTTAACTTAGCATTGGAACAGAAAAAATACAAATATATCACATTTCAAAGGTATTAAGAAGGTTATTATGCACAGGTATATTCAATAATAATAATAATAGTAGTAACAACAACAATAGTAAGAGATCGTTGCCTAAAAATAAGGACAGACAAACTCTGAAATCAAGAGACAACCTGAGCTGATGGCAAAAGTGGAGCTGAACTTCCAGGCAATGCCTTAGGCACAAAATGTTACAGGCTGACAGGTTCCAGGGTGGATAAAACTTCCTTGGCATTCATTTACTCATTCATTATTCAGTTCCACCACTTCTATAGAGTTCACCACTGTGTTAGTTTCTCGCTTACTGTAAGATTTACATGACCTTCAACAAACAAGTGGGTGATATCCCTGGAAAGAAACAGGTATGTATTACACAGTTTTAACAGTATTTTTGAAGTCATCCTACTACCTAATGGCAAAGAATAGAATTGTCATTTGTTGGTGTTGTTCAGGAACAACTGAGATGCTAGTGCTCAAATTTAGACGAAGCCAAGCAAAAAATGTGTGTTTTTCGTTTTGTTTCTTTTTAATTGCAGCTCCAGCTAGAAAAGCAGAAGGGAGAAATTCTTGGGGTAGTGATTGTGGAATCTGGATGGGGATCCATTCTACCCACCGTTATCCTGGCTAACATGATGAATGGAGGCCCTGCAGCCCGTTCAGGAAAACTAAGCATTGGAGACCAAATTATGTCCATTAATGGGACCAGTTTAGTTGGTCTACCTCTTGCAACATGCCAAGGGATCATAAAGGTACCCCAAACTTACAACTATATGCTCTAGATTTTAAGCCACTGGAGATGTAATATTCTGTCAGATCCTGGAATTTGATTTTGGAGATCCTGAAGATCTCCAGCAGATATATTTTTCATATCACTGAAAAAAAACCCACCCCAAAAAGTAGTCTTGTCATTAGCAAAAAGTAGATTTGGAAACAGAGATTCAGGGGTGATAATGTACAGAAATCTAGGACTGGAAAATTGGACAGCAGCTTTGTTACTGAACTATCAACAAATGGGTCCAGGTCTGAAAAACTTGCCTAAATGAAGTTATTTAGCTATCCTCAGAGTTTCAGGATTTCCCACAGCTTCCAAATTCAAATCAGGATTAAAATCTACTATTCTTCTTTGAGCGCCATGTAGAGGAAATGGATGGGACTGGTAGACTACAAGACAGATCAAATGAATATATGAGGATTCCCCAGACATAATGGAATCTCTGAGACTACATCTAATGTTTGCAGGTTTACCAAGAGCAGCAGCAGGAGATTAATTAGCCAGGCAGTGGTAAAAGGCAAGATGTAGTCAGTTTTGGTCTCTCTTGAAAACCTTCTTGAAGCTTCTATAGTAACTGAAGGCAAAGTTTTGATATGTTTTGTTGGGCCAAACAGCTTGCAAGATAAGTTAACAACGGATTTCTATTTACACCAGGTGTTCTTTGTTAGATCACATGGTTTACGCTCTTGCAATTAGGAAACCACTAATGAAAGATCAAATTAAGATCCATTGTAGAAATATTAACTTTGGAATATCTTACAGGGTCTCAAGAATCAGACACAAGTCAAACTGAACATTGTCAGCTGCCCTCCTGTTACAACTGTCCTTATAAAACGTCCAGACTTAAAATACCAGCTGGGCTTCAGTGTACAGAATGGAATTGTAAGTTTCTGTGTTTGGTAACTGGTTTGGGTTTGGTTTTTGTTTTTTTCTTTAAAGAAACACACTGAAATACTGAAAAATCTTTGCACATGACCCTTTTTCTACTGTGATCCCTTAGTTTATCAAAACTTTATAATCACATCTCTGAGTAATATAATGCAAATGGACAACACCTGGAGAACAGTTACTGCCATTCTTGAGAGACTTTCCCACATAATACAGCCACAGTATTTCTAGTTCCAATTGTTTGATGTAGTATCTGGGTCACCTAATACATGTGTAACTATCATTACTGTGCCAGAGTTGGAGGGGGAAGAGTTATGCTGAAACAGGCTTTCATAATTACAGCATTCTGATCTTAGCTCTGATCCTGTTTCTCTTAACTTTCAGCACATACTCACTAAAACTTCTATTTTTTCTTCTGGAGTGCATAATTTATTTGTATTATATGGCAGTGAGCATGGGAATGTAACTGTAACGTCCTCCTCTTAAAACTAAACACCTCTCATTACAAGTAATGGTATAGGTTGTGGCCCAGGTATCTCTCCTCTGCATGCTGCAGTTTCCCTACAGTAACAGCAGCAACAGAGAATGAACGCGGTAGGTAACACTTACCCAGAGCAGCTCAGGGTCCCCCTCTCGTGGTTCTTCCTTCCCATACCATTCTCCCGTACCTTTGCAAAGCAAACTCCCAATACAACTAGCTCAGGTAGCCACCTGGCCTTTTTGGGGCTGATACTAGCATTAGGAAGTGCCTGTAGTGCAGGACCATCACCATTTCCTCTTCCTTCAGTCTAGGAAAAAAAATAATCAGACTGCTCACACAGAAAACCACATCACAAAGGACTGTGGGCTCTGATCCCCTGTTCTGTGAAACTCATCAACAGAAGTTGCCAGATTTCTGTTGCCACCCTTGGAAGAGTAGCAGGTAACTCTATAGGATATAGTTTATGGGTCTTACCATGCTTTAGCAAACAGAAGGCTCATGAGCAGATTTTTATCTCTGCTACCCATCTTTAAGTTATTCCTGTACCTAAGTTTGAAGTGTTCCTACCTAAGATCACATATCATGGTATGGTCATGGCAGATACTGGTATAAAGAACACTGCTACAAGTCCATCTGGAAGCACTCTGAATGATACCTACCCCAGGATGACATCCTTTAGAAGCAGAAGTTTAAAGTATTTGTCATGTTTGGGATTAATGCTCTGACACTTGAGAGAGTTCCATAAAAAAAATACAGAAACATCAGGTGTGTGGCATATTTCTGTCCTCCTCTGTCTGTGCTTAATCCCCTTTCACCTATGGGCATGTGCATGTCAAGTGGGTATGGTTATTGCTGGTAGCTTACTCTGTGTTAGGAAATCCAAGTCTTGGCTTAAAAAGAATGAAAGGGATGGGATCTGGTTTTATGAGATCTCACAGAGGGTGCCGAGAACAGCATGTAACACTGATGAGGCATTATTTCTTAATGGCTATCCTTTTTTTCCATCTAGTATGCTCGGACAGTGCTATGACTGAAAGACAAAAATAAGGACCAATGAGCAATACTACAGTGTGTCTATCGAGTCTTTTAGGAGGCCTGTCTCAGCATCGGTGGTGTTGGGTTAGGGCAGGGGAAAATAATCACACTGAGGAGTATCAGAAGCATATCGTGTCCTCACCCATGTCACAGAGGTAGTGACAGCATTGTCCCAGCTAATGATCTCCTACATAGCTGGAGCCTTAGTTTAGTGGAATCTGCACTGTGGCTGTTTTCTTGGCATAGCATGCTCACTCCATCTACTGGTCATTGATCACAATCACAACACTGGATGGTCATAATCCATTCCAGTAAATGAGTAATGTTTAGATAACATCCAATATAAACTTTACCAAATTCAGCATAAAAATCGTTCTCGGGTAACCAAAAAGAAAGCTTTTCAAGACATTTAATTTATGAAGAGTCTCTGTTTGAAAACAAATGCCAATGAATATGGAGAGATTAACATCTTTTGTTAAACTGCTACAGACAAGCTTCTGGGCCTCCGAGTCCTTCCTCAGACTAACTCCCTCTTACCTCAGTAAACATTTGAAAATATGACTCTGCAGGTACATCTCCCTGGTATTTTGACAGCAAACTTTTCAAAAGTAGTTTTGTAATTGACAGCAATTGTTCCAAATTATGGCAGGATTTAGAAAGAGTATCTTTATTTGTCAGCTCAGCATTAGCACAGTGAAGAAATAAATGGCTTGCCAGAAGAGGTGTAATTAACTGTCTGTTACTACTATGACCTCACCTCAATATGCATGCAGCTGGTACTTGTTTCTGTGCTGTCCTGACAGCAGTTTTGCAGTGGTCCCTTTCCCCACCTCCTCTCATCTGTGCAGTGTGTACAGCTGTACATTAGTGAATAGCCCATAAACAATCTGGACATACAGAAATACTGCCTGAACTGGGTTTTTCCTGCATAGGGTATGAGGAAGATGCAAAGCCTGGGCCGCTGCAGGTAACTGTTTCCTATGTGTATTCTGTACAGTTTAATTAATGTAAAGCCTGCAGTGTGCTTCACGGAGCGCTAGTAGTGCCAGCTTTGGAAGTTTTAGCAGCATAAATCAGAGTGTTAATCTTGAAAAATTCCTCTTGCACTTATGACCCAAATATTCTTCCTGGGTCTTGAAAGCTACTGATGTATCTAAAATTTGAACTGTAAAACAGTAAGAACAAAAGAAATACTGTGCATACTGAGACATATGAAACAAATATGAATGTTTTGTGATGGGGAGGTAAACATAGGGTGATCTGTCAGCCACTCTCTGAAAATCATTATGTTACACTTTGAAAATTAGGATATTTAAATAGAAGTGGTCCTCTCATATCACATCATCATCTTGTTCCTTAGATTATGACAAACGTATGGATTACCAGTTGTATTTTTACTGCTAATTAATGCACCATTTCTCAGTCATCTATCCCATTCTATCTAGATATCTCAGATACTTACCCCATGCCCCACTTTGGACAACTCTATCTGAAAATACAGTAAAACTTAACAGAATGGACCGTTTATTCTTTTCTCCTTGCCTTTGTTTCTATTTAGTTAAACTGTCCAGGGAAATAAGATACAAGGTTTGAATAGAGTATTAAAAGGGTGTGAGATAAGGATTTTAAACATTTTAAATGTTTTAAACCTGGTTTAATAGGTTACATGTATGGCATTTACACAGAATGAGTAGTCAGTTTGCCTTGCACTGCTCTATCAATGTTTTCCTACACAAACTGATGGTGAAGCTTCTTAAGTTTCACATCTGAGGCATTGCAACTTGTCTAAGACACTGCAGAATCTGTAACAGTTGAATGGATTGAACCAGTACGGTTTATACCTTTTTTCCTTTTTTCCTTTTCTTTCTCCAGTTTACACAATAAATAGAGTGCAGGCTTTTGCCTACAAGAAGATTGTGATCCATCATGCTTTATTTCATAATAATGCAGCTGTCACTGTGTTCATGACTACAGCAGGCTAAACAATTCTGCCTGAATAGAATCATGCTTAGTGGCACTGCTCAGCTTAAACTTGCCCCACTGGCTGGAGACAAAAGCCCTAATGCTTCTTTGAGTGAGACAGGAGCCATGTAAATGTGTGCTTTAAGTACAGTGTATTTCTTTACATCTGCACTGTCTCCAGCTTAACAGGTCCAGTGAGGCTAGAGAGCAACTTTGGCTCTGTGTCTGTTTCTATCTCATTAAGGAGGTTTAATGCTCACAAAAAGAAAGCCTACTCCCTTCCCTGCAAGCAGATCACATTCTTGAAGGAAGAGACCACTTCTTATGTCTGAGGCTGTTAGAAAAAAGAATTTCACTGATGGTATTAAAAGTGCTTTGAAAGCACACACAATGAAAGGTGCTCTGGATAGACAGGCAAGCCATTATCCTTTCCTTCACACCATGAGAGGAAGAGGTCACATTTCCATTTGCTCTGAAAGCTTTTATTTCAGCTGGCTGTACTGTCTCTGTTTTCTTTTATATCCTGAAAAATAAATACACAAGGTTTCTTTTGGCACATTCTGGCTTCCAATTGCTGCATAACAATCTTCAACAGCAAGGAATAAACTCTACCAGGGAGTTGAACTGAGAAGCTTTCTATAAAAGAGATGTGTGTAGTACAGCGTATCTTGCCAACTATATGATTAAAGCTGACAAGCTGCAAACCAATATATTATACGTGACTGAAGTTCAAGTCAAAGTCAATTTTGTGAAGGGTCCCCATGGTGCCTCTATCCATAAAAGTCCATCAGAAACACTTCACGAACCGGCAATGGTTAAACTCAGCCACTAATGATAGCGTGGTAGAAGATAAATCTCACTACAGGAGAAAGATTTAATGTTTTTTTGGGTTTGTTCTGGGGTTTGGGGGGATTTTTTTTTCTCTGAAGGTTGATACAGGTCTTATAAACAAAACTCTGTATTTTTGCTCCTATATATTTAATGAATATTTATCTATATATATTTAAATTATTAAGATATATCTATTATATATAAAAAACTATATATTGTTGTATCAGATAACTTGAACTTGAGTAAGAAGGGACTTCATTTTTTTTTCATAGCATTGTTATTTGTGAAGAGGAATTTAAAGGAAACTGCTAGCACCATACAGAAAAGATTCTGGTCAACCACAGACAAAAGTTTCAGCTTCAATATATTCCACCTTAGCCATCTCCCCGTGTACTGTGTTTCTGAATCAAATTACAAATTCACTAGGGACACAAGCCACATCTTATCGTATCTGTATTTAGCTCTAAGTAAACTACCAGATCTCAGCAAGCAAGAATTCTTGGCATAAAATTCTACCTACCTACAGTAACTGCAGAAACAGCCATCACTGGATGCTCTAGCACGCCTTTCTTTTCCTCCAAGACCAGATTTTCCTTAGTATACAAAAGGTGAATCCCAGCACTGCTAAGCTCTGCTCAGTTCCACAGATTCAAACCAGACATCTGCTTTATGAGCTGCACGAGCTTAAGTCATCTGAAGTAATTTACCAACAATTTCTATCTACCATACAGCTGTCTAGTCTGTCAGGCAGGGCCCTGTTGCAGCACAGGTGCTGCCATGGAGGAGGAAACATTACTCAAAATTCTCCATTCTGGACTGAGATTTTTCTTTCTGCCTGTGCATTATGCATGCTGCAACAGCAGAATAATTTTCAGTAGCAGTGTCTGCAGGGACTGTGCCAGGTGAACTTGTGCCTAGCTCTTTACTGGTACCTGCAGCCATCAGTTGAAACAGTGGCTTGACTTGCCTTCTTCCTCTTGAGCTCCCTATGGCCAGCAGCACTGTAAAACATGGAGAAAATCAATGGCTCTGGAGAGCAGAATGCCCTTTTTGAGCCTGCAGAGGCAAAGGAAACTGTGCTGAACACAGCCTATAAAAAGAATCAGAATATGCGCATTTCATAGGATCATAGAGTGCTTTGGGCTGGAAGAGACCTTAAACCTCATCCAGTTCCAACCCCTGCCACGGGCAGGGACAACTTCCACTACAGTAGGTTGCTCCAAGCCCCATCCAACCTGGCCTTGAACACAGCCAGGGATGGGGCAGCCACAGCTTCCCCCAGCATTGTGTGCCAAGGCCTCACCACCCAAAAACCCAAACCAAAACTCAACCAAACCAACATTTAAAAACATGTAAGTATTGCTTAGTACTTTTCACAAGCATCCTCTGGAGTCCTTTGAGTGTCAGCAGTCATTATGATATATTAAAT